TAGACCACCGGGACTGTCATAGATAAGATGAATGTGAGGTCGTGTCAGCCCATCGTGGCTAATTTGCGAGGAATTTAACAAGATAGTTTACAGGGGAAACCGCGTGGAGGTCAACTTGACAGGGACCACGCTGTCATTATGATCATTATTCTACTTTACCAAGAATCCTTTTCTCCAGTTATTATTATATTGAGAGAATTTTATTATGAATAAAGGTAGTCTATAACTGCTGTAATTATTCCTTAAGAACTCTTAACACAAGCCGTGTTTAGCTTGTGCCGTGTGTAAGCTACACACGGCACAAGCTAAACACGGCTTGTGAAATATGGTCGAGCGCAGTGATGGCTGGCTCATCCGTCATACTCGTGAACGGGTGCTGCTTGTAGGGACTGGTCTGCTCTAATCACTATGGCTGATTTCCACTTACTAATTGTATAACCAGTTGGTTATATATTCAATATTTTTTCTATTTGAGTTTTAATTGAATTAGTGCTAATTGGTGGTTTGTATTCACATACTTAAACTTAAAAATGTAAAGTAATAATAAAATTAATTAAAAGAGCAACACGCAAGTTTTTGCTTGTTCTTCTTGTAATGAGACAGCTTTCCGAATGAGCGGTAGATTAAAAAAATGTAATGACTATTCAAAAGTGCTTTAATGTAAGTTTATTTGAATAAATGATATTCTATTCTATTCTTGAGACTAGATGGCGCTGAGTGATTTGTCCATCGTCATTATTATTATTATATAAAAACTGCTAAAACTACCATTTAAACTGTGTCGTCACTAACACTTAACAATCATTGATATGCTTCAGTGAAGAAGAACAGTGAGTATGCTCGATTATTGAAATAATGACTTTGAACCCAACGATCGTAATTCTAAGGTAATCGTTCGTTCAGTACTTACGTTGTGTTTACGGTTGCAGCATGTACCGTTTGGTAGACGAGTTGTTGTCTAAGTTTAGTGTTTTTGGTCGTTACCATGTCAGCCTTATGGTGTTGGCGTGGATAGCCTTCATGTCAAACAGTATATATTGCCATAACTATATATTCGTTGCAGATGCGGTGTCATATCGGTGAGTATATAAATAAAAGATTGTGCACTAATTTTTTATTTATTAAAACTTCAATGCACAAATCATCATTACATAGTATAAAATAAAGTCTCTGTCGCTGTCTTCCCTGTAATATGCGGCTAAAATGTCCTACATGAATAAATCATTTTTGTATTTGAATTTGACTATGCTTAAATCTTTAAACTACGCAACGGATTTTGATGCGGTTTTCTAATATATAGAGTGATGTACACCCGTGCGAAGCCGGGGCGAGTAGCTAGTACATAAATAAAGTAAAGTAAAAAATAAAATAACCATTAGGCAAATAGAGATTCATGTGGGCGGTGCATTATCAAAATTCGAAATTCTAATATAAAAAAATATATAAAAAAAAATTTATGTGATTAAATATAAATACATATGTGATAGAATAATTTTATTGACTGTACAAGGTCGGCTCTAAAAAAAAGTCATAAAAAATGTTTTGTATATGTTATAGAAATATGCAGTAAATGTATTTATAAAGGGATATAATGATAAAGTACATATTTATAAATGGATACGTTATCAGCACGAGAATTATTCCTTTAATTATTAAAGGAATTATTATATATTATATAGGGAATTATTATATAGTAAATAAACTAAATCTTCTTTTAAATTGATATAAATCAATTTAAAAGAAGATTCACCTTATTTACAATAACAAAAATAACTGGATCACTGCTATCAATAATGAGTATGAAATTTGATGAAAAGGAAAACTTGTGTGTCAGTTGAGAATCCAAGATATAAGTCTTCTGCTGGTCATGAGCCACCAAACTGATGTGAAACAACCTTTAGGCTACGTTAGACATCTGTCTAACGTAGCCTAAAGGTTGTTTCATATCGAGATACAACTTAGATAAGTTGCATCTCGTAATAGTGTATATGTCTAACATATTTGAAATATTAGTAATAATCCCTTGTCTGAACAACTAATATCATACAAGGTTGTCTGCCAAATAATATAATATAATAAAATAATAATAGTTTATAAAGTAATTCAAATTCAAAATATCTTTATTCATGTAGGTCTATTACAGACTCTTATGATATGTCAAATCTACCGCCAGTTCGAAATGATTTCAAGATGAGAGGAACTGATAAGAAACTCAGTTCGTATTCTTTTCAAATAAATGTTGTACATGTTTACAATGATACAGATTCATTTTGAAATTCAAATTTGGGAGAGTATAGTGACCACCAGCATATGATACTGCAAAAGCAAATAGACTTTATTCAATAAGTTTTTCATTAAAAAGTTTATAAATTTTTTGAAATATCTATTTCTATATTTATAATCTGTATCAATATTCATATTTACATGATTTTGTTAATGAGTTTAAAATATTCAGGCACTGAATACAGTTCGCATATAGCTTGGAAGCCTAGTGCTGGTTGTTCGGCGACGAAATCGCGAATATATTGAAAAATGGCACGGTGGATGATGATTACGCCTTTCAGATGATCAGGATGATATTTTTGTTTGTTTGAAATTTAGCAGCTGATCAATCCGAACCAATGATAACCCTGGATAAAACCTGGATATAACAAATAGGCTTTATTCAATAAGTTTTTCATTAAAAAGTTTATCAAATTTTTGAAATATCTATTTCTACATATCTTTTTTTTTATGTACTACGATGGTGGCAATCAAGCATACGGCCCATCTGATGGTAAATGGTTACCGTAGCCTATGAACGCCTGAAACACCAGGGGTATCACTTGCGTGTTGCCGACCCTTAAGAAACCTTAATATACCCTTCCTGAAAAACCCCATGCTGTAGTCTCGTGGGAAAACCTCGGCAGGAAGTTCATTTCACTGTACAAGTGTACGCGGGAGGAAACTCCCGTGTCCTCTGAAACCGCACTGTTCGGGACCACTTAGGTTCCAGTGTGTGGGGATGAATTCCCTGTCGATGGCGAGCGGTGCGGTGGTAAAAGGTGTTATCATATAATGGTATCATAATGTTTACATGATTTTGTTAATGAATTTAAAATATTACTCCACATAATTTTTTTTTAAAATAGCTATATTAGTGGAACAAAGGCTTAAATGTGTTTACTTCTTTCGCATACAGTTTTATAACTTCGTACCTACCTTCTTCTTAACTTCGTACCTAGAAATATGAGGACCGTATTTAAGTATTCCGATATAGTCATTTTAAAGTCATTTGCATTATAACAATATATTGTAGAAAGATAAACACAATCAATATCATTGTTTGGACAATATAGTTTTGTTTCATTTCTTTTCACAAACTGTATAATACAATTTTATTATAATTTATGCAGATTATATGTATATACACATAAATTTCTTTTCTTTCCAGAAACCAGATCTAATTCAGTTTTATTATAATTTATGTAAATTATACATACACATAAATGTGTAGAATGTTTTTTTTGTTTAAATGTATTTAAAGTGGTTTAAAAAAACAAATTGTAATTACGAATAAAACTCCTGGGGTAGGTTATAGATTGTGTTAAATACTTAATGTTGAGTAAACAGAAAAATAATCTGAATAAATGCTAAGAGAAAACGAAGAATAGTTATTAGTGGTACAGTTTTTTTCTTCCATCAGAATTTACAATTGAATACACAATCTATACATATAAATAAAATTGAAATGACCATTTTTTACTACATGCATATGAATATAAATAAGGTTCCTACACCAAAATTACATTTTTTACAATTTAAATCTCTCTGTCTGTTTATACCGGCTAATCTCTGAAATGGCTGGACCGATTTTGACGGGACTTTTTTTGGTAGGTAACTGATGTAATAAGGAGGAACTTAGGCTACTTTTATTTTAGAGAAATAAAGTTAAATTCAACGCGGACGAAGTCGCGAGTACAGCTAGTCATTAATATAATTACACACAACTTTCAAATGTTTACGAGAAATTTACGAATACATTCATTAACGAGCTCGGTGTTTTAAACATACTAGTGGTCGGCCAGTGGTTGAAATTCGACCATTATTAATTTAAATTACTAGACGCATGATATTTATTTTTTAGGCTGTTGATTTAATAATAAACATATATGATATTCATTGTTTGTTGTTACCCTTAAGGGGGTAAAATAAAATAGGGGATGATTGTATGGAAAATCGTCATTTTTTAAACAAGAAGAACGATGAAACTTTTTTTTGCCCTTTTGGGTCAGATTATTATTATTTGGTCAAGGTCACTATAACAAGCGTTCGAAGTCGCGGGCAAAGCTAGTTTAAATTATAAGTCTGAACAAAAATATATTGGCATTCTGCACTTCTTCTCTATATTGTACGAAATTTCACACTCCCTCGTCCGCGCGATTTTAGTAAAAAAGGTACAAAGTTTTTGTTTGACGTATTAATATAAAGATACTAGCTGTCCCGGCAAACGTTGTTTTGCCTTAAAATAAAAAAAAAAGTTTAGGGGTGGACTACCCCTAACATTTAGGGGGATGAAAAATAGATGTCGGCCTACCTACGACCTACTTCATGACAATCGGTCAAGCCGTTTCCGAGGAGTATGGGAACGAAAACTGTGACACGAGAATTTTATATATAAGACAAAATTGGAGTCAGAAAAAATCAGCCCTGCCTTCAGTGCTGCACTTCTCTGCACCTGAAGCCATCTCCTTTATTTGCATATTTGTTTTTTCTGTTTATCTAATATCGAAGTCTGGTTATATGACGGGATGTAGTCGGTTAGAGGTGACCGATATATCATTTAAATTACACGCCGAGAGAAACCGCTCGGTGCAGTTAGCTTATAATATTTGTGTCGATCAGTTAGCCAGACTTTTTGACTCTTTAAATGTAGCACGTATGTAGTCAAAGCAATTGAGAATAATATATTCTAACTGGTTATAGATCGGTTATCTTATTTATTCACTCGTCGAAAGATGTCGGCGACGGTGTGGCGTTAGTGAGGATAATTTTTATATAAACCTTTCGTATACGTTACGAACATAAACCTTGGATTTCCTTATTAAACAATACTGTTTTTTAATCTGTAAGTCGACACTCGTTTCGACAGTCGACAGTTGTTAATTCGTCGTATAGTAAACTCGAGTGTGTTATAAGGTTTTGATTAATATAAATATGACCTCCAGTGACACTTTAAGTGATATGGAGAAGGTGCTATCAAGGTTCGGTGTATTTGGACGTTATCATGCGCAGTTTATGTTTTTTTCGTTCATGGCGTTTGCCTCCAACTCAGTGTTTTGTGGGAATTTTTTGTTTGCTGCCGAGGAAGTTGGATATCGGTGAGCTGGAACATTGTTATGAAATGTTTTTATTTAATTACATTCAGTTAGATTTTTATTTTCGATACGATTAGTAGATTAAACCGATCGTTGTCGTATTATTCAATTTACCTTCATATTATTAATAATAATAAACACAGAGAGTGTGTAGAAATAGAAATAGAAATAATATTTATTTAAATAAACTTAATATAAGCACTTTTGAATAGTCACATTTTTTTATTCTACCACTCATTCGGAATGTAGACTCATCACAAGAAGAACGAGCAAGAAACTTGTGTGTTGGTCTTTTAAATAAAAGTTGTTTTAAGAAGATTTACATTAATAAGGATTAGGTATGCGACAATCAACATACAAATAGTGTGTATTATTATTATGAATAATAATAACAATCTCAGGATAATTCACACGGCGCCACCTAGATCCAAGTTAAGCTAGCTAAAGCTTGTGTTATGGGTACTAGATAACTAATACATATACATAGATATATTTTTTGTAAATACATACCTACATATTATGCATAGAAAATACCCAGACCGATACAAACAATCATACTCATGAATACAAATGTTTGCGCCGTGCGAGGAATCGAACCCGCGACCATCGGTCGTAAAGCAGTGTGCTAGACCGCTAGACCAGCGAGGTCGTCGAATATTAAGGTATAAGGTAAATCTCAAACAAACATACATTGCACTAAGTTAGTTTCAGCCCGGAAGTGTGGTATAAGCCACAAAGCGTAAAAAAAATAATAATAATCTTTATTTACAAATATATCAGTACAATGTTATACATATAGGATTGACTTTCGAAATAGATAATAAACCTGTGTCTCGAAAACCGGTTCCTACTGTAATCAGGTATAATGAGATTTGGTTAATGAGTTTTATATATATATAGGAAACGAAAAGAATATTGATATATATATATGCATACTATCGTCTCGGTAAATGTTATTTTGCCATATAAAATAATACCACTATTAAAAAGTAGGGATTGATGCTAGAAAGGTAAAAATTTAGGATTGTCATTTAAATATAAAAAAGTAACAATAATCTTTGGGGTGGCATGGCATACTCTTATCACTTAGGGGTAGAAAAATAGATGATAACCTATTCTCAGACCTACTGATATAGACATAAAATTTAATCAAAATCGATTTAGTGGTGTAGGATTTCATCGCTAATAATTAAGTGACAATGTTTTTATAGGTTAAGATTAAGGTGTTGCTGTGTTAAGTGAGAAAGTTAACTTTATGGACCTGACAGTTAAGTTGTAGACGAATGTTGATAGGATCTAAGCAAAAGCTAGGTCTCTAGGTCAAAATTGCTTCAATAACTAGCTGCCTTTATGCAACACGTTCTTTCACGCGCGATCAGAAGCGCGTGCGATTCAGCATTCCCCTCCGATCGATCCCCCGTCCAATTCAAACGGGGATCGAAATTACGACGGCCTGAGCCGAGGTTCAAACCCCTAGTGGTGCCCTCAGACTAAAGTCGTATCCGTCGGGCAGGAGTTGGCCTTCAGCCGCTCCATAAGTCCTTCCGCGGGTTTGGAGTGCCATCTGCACTCGCCCCATAACGTCCGGTGAAGCTGTAAAGGCCAGCTACGGCCAACAGCATTAGAGTAGTCCGAAAAAAAAAAAAAAGTGCGATTCAGCGCGGGGAAGACAGCGCGCGTAATCGTGAGCGATTGCATTTAACTATTTCTTGAGTTCACTCTTTCGCGAATGATAGCACGTATGTCTAAAGTCATTATTAGTTTCTTTTTTATTTCACAAGCCTTAGAGGTCTTTTCCAAAAACACGTTTAATATTGTAACTTTTATGCCATTTTACTTTAATGTTCATAAATTATGGCTCTATAATTATGTATTTGCTCCAAAGTCAGGTGTTCAATATATTGCAATGTTAATTAATTATTATAAAAAGGCGATCTTTCTCATTCTCGTTGTCTACAATTATATGCTCATTCTTTACTGCGTGAAAACCGATTCGCACGTGAAAGAGCGTACGTGTAAAGACCGCTGAGAAATTTTAATTAGGTTAATTTAAGTTTTCAGCAATTGTCTCTGTTTCATTCTAGGTGTAAGGATGAAAATTTTGGCAACGACTTGTGCAGAAGTCAAAATTCATCGGTTGAGTATTGTACAGAATGGATTTACGACAATCCGGACAGTTTTGTAGCGGAAGTAAGTATAAATATTTGAAACTATTTAAGCACTTTGAATACATCACACATCATTATTTAGATAAGGTAAAATGACCTAAGACAATATCAATAGAGTCATTTAATGCTACATTAAATAGAGTCTATACTTTGGCAAGCTAGACAACTTACAGAATTTTAGATCACCATATTATATTCTTATTACCTATTAAGAGAAATAGATAGAGATAGAATATACTTTTATTTGCATTATATAAAACATTTAATGAAATTTCATCATTAGACAAAGAGTACCGTGTACCGTACATGAGTGACGTGGCAGTAAATGATTAGTTTAGTGACCTGATGTTTGTTGACAGTTCGGACTAGCATGCCAAGAGTGGAAAAGAACATTGGTGGGCACCATACATAGTTTTGGATACATGGTCGGGCTGCTTCTAGTGGGACCGATGTCGGACAGGTAATTATAAATTGTCCATTTCTTTTATTAAATGAACTGTTACATAAACAATAAAAAACAACAACAAAATGACAATAATAACTACAACAAGAACATATTACACAGCGCCATCTAGTCTCAAGCTAAGTGCATTCCTGCGTACTCAATCATGGGTTTTTTGTGCCTTTTTATAATAATAATTATTATTGCAAAATAGAGCACATGTGACTGTAGAACAAGACAGAATTATAGAGTTACTGATAATTTATAAATCTTAATCGTGTCTTTGGTAAATAAAAACTGTAGAATAACAAACAAAATTTAAAAGGAAAGTAATAAGATATGAAACATGTGTAAACTCGCGCGAAAGAATAAAAAAAAAAGTCGCAAAAAAATTGTTAAATGCAATCACTCACGATTTCGCGCGCTTGCTTTCCCGCGCTGAATCGCGCGCGATCCAGATCGCGAGTTAACGAACGTATCGAGCAATAAGGGGAAATATAGATACTGCAATACTGCATGTATATAAAGATGGCAGAATCCATTGTCAGTCTATTCGTGACATTGTAGGTAACAATAAAATTTACAACCATATGCTTAATGATTGGAACGTGTCGAATGAAGATAATTCAAACTGTATGTGGCTACATTGTAGGTGTATAAGTCTTTGTTGTTTATTGGGCAATATTCTTGATTACAGTTGCCCAATAAAAAGTGTATTTCTTAATTAGAGAAGGTTATAGCTGAATTAAATGTTTGTTCGTTTTGAATGTTAATAATTTCTCTTACTTTAATGCTGTTCACTAATTTCTCAGTTTACATTATGGTTGACTCTTAGAAAATGCTCTTGGGTGCTAAGTTAGCCATATATACATATATATTATATTTCGTTATATATATTTGTATATAATTATGAAAAGTCTGTATAGTATAATGTAATATGTTCTACTAACTAAAACTACTGCTCTGTATCAAATCCCTGTAGAACCCTAAGATTTTTTAAATTCAAATATATTATAAAATTATAGAAAAAATTAGTCTTTATCATCAGTTGGATCGGCTTATGTTTGCCATTACAAGTATATAAAAAAAATAGATATAAAATTGGTAAAGATACAAAGTAATGTTAAGGACAGCCTCGATGGTCTAGGGATTCAGTACATTTGGTTACTTCCGATGGGTGCGGGTTTGATTCCTCGTACAGTACATTTATATTCATGCGTATGGTTGTCATTGGCCTGGGTGATTTCAATGTATATTATGTATTTAAAAAAAGTGTGTAAGTATATCTATCAGTTATGTAGTAACCATAACGCAAGCTCTGCTTAGATTGGAACTAGATGACGCTGTGTGAAATCTCTGTGATATTATTATCCCATAGATTTATCTTATTTATCTATTTAATTATCTAGAGAGATAATGGGATATTATTATTATAATGTTACAATGTTAATATTTTTTATGTGACTTATTGGTTATATGTAGTACAAAAAAATTAATATATGTATAAATAACTAGTTACTCGCCTCGGCTTCGCACGGGTGTACATGTGTTATATATATAAACCTTCCTCTTGAATTATTCTATCTATTTAAAAATCTACTTCAAAATTCGTTGCGTAGTTTTAAAGATTTAAGCATACATAGAGACGGACAGACAGCGACAGTCACTTTGTTTTAGACTATGTAGTGATTGTAATTAGGCTCTAGATACTTAGCTATAGTACAAATAAAAAAGTAAAGTAAAATAAATTGATATATTCACGTTGGTAAAAAATTGCAGACTTTTTCCTTATTCAAAAGTGTACAAGGAACATATTTTTTATAATATAATATTTTGTCTGTGATGACTTATGATAATGACTAAATATTAGTTCTTAACATACCCACTGATTTTGCCAAGGTTAGGCAGAAAACTGTCAATAGTCATCACCGGAATGTTGGGTGGCATCTTCGGCGTGGCAAGGAGTTTCTCCATGAACTACTGGCTATATATAATCTTAGAGTTCTTGGAGGCTGCGATCGGTGACATCTGTTCGCCAATGTTTGTATTGAGTGAGTATATTTTTATATTTTACACGTTTTTATTTAGTTATACATGCCCCGTTGTCTGTCTGTAATTAAAATCTTGCAAGTTAAATTTGATCCACTTCCTAGTTTTTTTTTTATACCATTTACGTGGCAAACAAGCATACGGCCCATCTGATGGTAAACGGTTACCGTAGCCTATGGACGCCTGAAACACCAGGGGTGTCACATACGCGTTGCCGACTCTTAAGAAACCTTAATATACCCTTCTTGAAAAACCCCATGCTGTAGTCTCTCGAGAAAAGGTAGGCAGGTATTTCATTCCACAATCTAAGTGTACGCGGGAGGAAGCTCCTCTGAAACCGCACTGTCCGAGACTGTAGTTTCCGATTGAGTCGAAATTTTGCATGCATATATAAACTGGATGACAATATTATTATGGCCTATAGCTGATCTGATGATGGAGCTGGAAGGTGGCCATAGGAATTCCGTAATTAAACGATGCAACCCCATCGACTCTGGGGTCGTTTGATTCATCTTGACGAGTTATTAACAAAGAATAAAATCTTATTTTTAAAAAGGTATTATTTCTTTATTCATATTATGCATATTTTATGGATACGAATATAGTTAATCGGTTTTTAATACGAATAATTTTATGATAAACAACGTTTGTTGCATTAGCCGCTGTCACGAATTGACTATAAATAATAATATACCGACTTGCATTATCTATTTTTATCGATACTTAGTATTTATCACTCTGCTGCACTAGCCGATGTCACGAGCTGACTCTATTTACTTACTTCCGGTACCGACTTATATTAAAGTTATCGATGACTTTTTCATATCGACATTTAGTAGGTATTTATCTCTCTGTTGCACTAGCCTTTGTCATGCAGTACACTACTCACTTACCTGCGATACGGACTTACGTTAAGTATATCGATGACTTTTTATTTATCGACATTTAGTAGGTATTTATCTCTCTCTTACACTAGCCTTTGTCACGCAGTACACTACTCACTTACCTGCGATACGGACTTACGTTAAGTATATCGATGACTCTTTATTTATCGACATTTAGTATGTATTTTTGTCTCTCTTACACTAGTCTTTGTCACGCAGTACACTACTCACTTACCTGCGATACGGACTTACGTTAAGTATATCGATGACTCTTTATTTATCGACATTTAGTATGTATTTTTGTCTCACTTACACTAGTCTTTGTCACACAGTAGACTACTCACTTACCTCCGATACGGACTTACATACGTAAAGTATATCGACGACTCTTTATTTGTCGATATTTAGTAGGTATTTATCTCTCTCTTCACTAGCCATTATCACGAGATTATTTGCTTACCTCTAATACGGACATTCATTAAATTTATCGATGTTTCTTTTTTATGGACATTTAGTAGGTATTTACCTCTCTGTTGTACTAGTCTTTATCATGAGTTGTCTATTTAATTACCCTTAGATACTGACTTACGTTAAATTTGTTGATGACATTTTTATCGATACTTATATATAATCTTTATTGCACTTGTAAGTTAAAATATTACATGAATATTAAAATAACATGAGCAAGGATGGGCATATTTATAAAAGCGATCTCTTCCAGCCAACATAACGCCGTGACTTAGTTGGTAATTAGCAGGCACTAATTTTTAATTAAATTTTACTTCTGTCTGTTATTGTAAGGCATGAGTGAGTTTGCTCCCTGAACCAGTTTACCTATTCAATATGGTTTCATGATTTAAATAATATATTATTATATATCAACATTTATTAGAACTGACTACACGACTCAGCAAACATTGGGTTACCCTATCCTTATTATTTGAAATAAATAATATTTTACTAAATTTAAATCTTTTATAACAATATTACATACGAATATTAGATAAAAAATTGTTAATTAATTACATATAAAATTACTACATTGTTCAACGCGGGGAAAGTGGGATATGATTATGAAAATATTTTTTGTAATCTTAATGTTCCACTGCTGGGAATTAATCTCCTCCTTATACATCCAAACCATCGATTCAATAATTAAAACTTTAATAACATAATCTTAGAATTCTTTTTTACATGTTTTTGAAACTGAAACATGTGTATAATATTACTGAAGAACGATGACATTCGCTGATTTTTTTTATTTAATATTTTACGGCTCTGGATACAAGTTCTTTTTAGGCCAACATAAAATTCATAAACTTAAAAAAAAATTACAATTTCTTCAGTGTTAGAAATAAATTTATATAAAATCTTGAATAGTGAAGGCCTTGATAAGATCATTCGCTGAAATATAAAACTGTTGGCAGTATATAAATATATTTGAAAATATATATGTTATGATGTTACAGTCTAAAAAATATACAAAGAGGTATAATAAAGTTTAGAGTAAGTGAACTTTAAAGTTTACATTGAAGTGAAGTTTAAAATTAATTTTGATCAATTAATGATTCCTTTTATATTTATAGAGGTCCATATTTCGTAAACTACTGGTTTCTGAACTATAGCTCAGTGAAAGAAATGTTACTGGAGCGGGAACACAACTACTATTTTAATAAAAACCAAATATTAGTAAAAATGTGTATTCTTCCCAAAAGGGCTCACAGCGAGAAGTAACAAAACAATATAGAATTAGTCAAAAGTGACGTATAAAAAATAGATATAAAAATATAATGTTTATAAAAAGAATGTCTAGCTTGTCTACATCTCACAGGAACTGGAAGCTTGTCTACCATTCTTTTTATAAACTTTATATTTTGATATCTATTTTTTATACGTCACTTTTGACCACATATTGTTTTGTTACTTCTTGCTGTGAGCCTTTTTGGGAAGAATACACATTTTTACTAGTATTTGGTTTTTATTAAAATAGTAGTTGTGTTCCCGCTCCAGTAACAGACAGTGTCACAGCATAAGAGTCCCGTTATACCATATCAATTAAAATCCATAAGAATATTGAAAATTATAATTGACGTGAATAAATTAAATGATCCCAAAGAGAGTCACGAATGATTCACGAATATATACAATAGGTGATTAGCCTTGACATATTCTCATTGAATTCTCATTAATAAACACCTTACCTACATGCAGTTGTACAAGTACAAGTACCGAATAGCGAACTTCGTAATAGAAATCGGTTAAAGACAAACCGCTAAGTATTTCTTTGACTGGCATATGTAGTACGCTACATCCTCTACAATACAAACAAAGAAACTTGCATTCATTTTTATAGTATTATCTACATACATAATATACTTTGAAAACACTCATGACCCATATTTACAATTAATATGATTGCAAATGTTTGTAACGTACGAGGAATCGAACCCGCGGACATTGGAAGTAAGGCGGTATACTAAACTGCTAGAACACCATGGGTATCAAATGAAAAAATATATAAATATGTACTTTCTGGATTAAAAGATTTTTTTTGTTTCAGCTATAGAAATAGTGTCATCGAAGAATAGATTATTATTCTACATACTCAGCACATTTGGTTACACATTCGGTGGTATATTGTTATCCGGCTCGGCGTATGCGTTTCCATACTGGAGGACATTTCTACGAGTAGTCTACGCTCCTGCTCTTCTATTCTTCTTTTACCTCTTCGTTATAGACGAAAGTCCAAGATGGCTGCTAATAAAAGGGAAGAAAGAGGAAGCTGTAGCTATCCTTGAGAAGGCAGCTAAGTTGAACAAAATTAAACTTGACAAAGCAGTTCTGGAGAAGTTGGAGACAGAGAAAGAGAAGGACATAGAGTTCGTAAGACTTTTAAAAGTAACGTTTAGGTCTAAGACGCTTCTGAAGAGGTTCTTCATATGCATCATTTGGTGGAGTACATCCACCTTCGTAAATTATGGGCTGACAATAAATTCGGTGTCTTTACAAGGAAACAAGTACATAAACTACGCTCTCATTTGCATCATGGATATTCCGGCTAATATAATAATTTTATTGGCTTTGAACCGTTTCAAAAAGAAGTATTCGTTAATAGCGTCCTTTTTAGTTGGTGCTATTTTGTGTTTGTCGCAGCCATTTATGCCTACAAGTAAGTAAGATAGCTTTCTATATTAATTAATTTCATTATTTACCTCAAAAATGATTATTAATATTAACCTTGATTAATTCACAATGCACCATCAAGTCTTAAGCAAAGCAAAGCTTGTGTTGTGGGTACTACACAACTGATATAAATATATGGATAATATTTTTTGTAAGACCAATACAAACAATCATACTCATTAATACAAATGTTTGTACCGTGTGAGGAAGCGAATCCGAGACAATCGGAAACGGTGTAAACCGCTAGACTACTGAGACCGTTATCAAAATATTAATATGTTAAGCAAAAACATTGTACCACTTTTTACGGAGGAATACGAAACCCACACTTATAGGTCACTAGCTACTCGCCCCGGCTTCGCACGGGTGTACATGTATTATACATATAAACCTTCCTCTTGAATTATTATATCTATTTAAAATAAACCGCTTCAAAATCCGTTGCATAGTTTTAAAGATATAAGCATACATAGGGACGGACAGACAGCGACAGCAATTTTGTTTTATACTATGTAATGATATAGAGGAGTGTAAAATAGTAATATTTTTTAAATTTCGAAAATACATTAAAACAATAAAAAAAAAATTAAAAACTGCCATGTATTTTACCCAAATGTATATACTTTTGTTATTGTTAAAGTAATATCGATCCCCGTTTGAATTGGACGGGGGATCGATCGGAGGCTTATAACACATAAGCCCCCCTCCGATCGATCCCCCGTCCAATTCAAACGGGGATCGATATTACTACGCCCTGAACCGAGGTTCGAACCCCTAGCGAACCTCAGACTAAAGTCGTATCCGTCAGGCGGGAGTTGGCCTTCAGCCGCTCCATAAGTCCGTCCGCGGGTTTGGAGGACCATCTGCACTCGCCCCATATCGTCCGGTGTATCGAGCTGTAAAGGCCAGCTGTGGCCAACAGCATTAGAGTAGTCCGAAAAAAATAAAGTGTTAATTAATATTGTTTGTCTTTAACATTAAGATATTTATTTTTGACAGCCTCAGTGGTTTAGCGGTTTAGCACACCGACTTACATAGTCGCGGTTTCGAATCCTCACACAATAGTGAATGAATATAATAAATACTCATTTTTATATTGTAGACCTATCCTGGCTGTCACTGGTGTTATACATGGCCGGCAAGTTGATGTCTTCATTCTACTTCAGCATCACATACATCTACACGTCGGAGTTGTTCCCCACGTACACCAGGAACTCTATGCATGCCCTCAGTTCCTCGCTGGGTAGGATCGGTTCAATAATTGCTCCACAAACTCCATTATTGGTATGTATAAATATTTTTATATTTACCTAGTTGTATGACCTGCGCAATTTCATCTGATCTTTCATTCAACTTTACATCAATAATTATATTTCGCACAATTTACATAATATCGTTTTAAATTCTAGCCTATATATTATTCTGATGTATAATCTACATTATTGTGCAGTTTCATTAAAATCCGTTCAGTAGTTTTCGCGTAAAAGAGTAACAAACATCCATCCATCCATACTCATAATCGGTTGCGTTTATAATATAATAAGGTAGTAAGACATATAATGCTGGTAAAGGTGTATGCCTGCTGTGTTGAAATGGATGAGACTGTGGTAGAATAGTACCATATGACTCTATAGTCAAGTCAAGTCATACTCAAGTCTAGTACCAACCTAAATTAGCTGTACTTACGATTTCACCCGCGTGAAGTTTTATAGCTTGTGTGATTTTGATGTCTAAGCTACATTACTGTGCAGTTTCGTCAAAATCAGTTTAGTAGTTTTTGCGTGAAAGAGTAACAAACAGACAACCTCGGTGGTCTAGGGGTCTAGTACACCGTTTTACGTCCGATGGTCGCGGGTTCGATTCCTCGCATGGCACAAACATTTGTATTCACGAGTATGATTGTTTGTATCGGTCTGGGTGTTTTCTATGTATATTATGTATGTATTTACGAAAAAAAAAACTGTGTATTTGTATTAGTTATCTAGTACCCATAATACAAGCTTTAGCTAGCTTAATTTGGGTCTAGATGGCGCTGTGTGAATTGTCCTGAGATTATTATTATTCATCCATCCACATTGACAAACTTTCGTGTTTATAATGTTATTAAGATTGATGATGTAGAATAAGGAAAGGAAATACTTGTTTAGCAATTGGAGCATTGGCGCTCTATTAATTCTGTTCGTCTTAGGCAAAGAAGCGTATGTTACGAGTGTTATGACTTGTTACTGATTCCTAAGAGACAATATTTTAATTCTCAAATGTGAATTTTCGTCTTCAATTTTAGTCAACACAAAAAAAAAACGTTCTTAAAAATATACATAGAAAATACCCAGACCTATCGGTATAACGACGAACAACTATATTTATGAATAAAAATGTTTGTACCGTGCGAGGAATCGATCCCACGACCATCGGAAGTAAAGCTAAACCGCTAGACCATCGAGACCTATATTTCTCTAGAGTCTATATTTCGTATTCTCAGTACTATGTAACTATAACACAATATGTACACAAGTGTATGAGTACATTCAATAAGAAACATTTATCTTCATCTCAAAAGGAGATATGAGTACACAACTTCATGATCTATCAAGGACTGTACATCCCTTTTTCAAATCGAGTTCAAGTTATACTGGTTATATCCGCCCCTCAGTATTATTATCAAATAAGGCGAGTTATTTTTAGAACCCCAGTTGAAAATCTCCGGATCCAGGCCTGTCGACTTAATTCTTTGCTTCTGTTTTGTATTCATAAGATCGGCTCTTATTTCCTTTTTATCTGTTATATTGTAGTTATGTTCGGTATTATTTTGGTAAGATTTAAAAATAATAAAATACTTTTTTAACTTGCCTGATAGGCAAAAAATCTCAATGATAAATCTGTCTGGTCCAACCAATGTCTTCAAACTATTATGCCTATAAATAATGGAAATATTATTTGAATGATAGTATTTTTTTGTAAATATAATCAACTACTAAAATTCATATATGATTATTTTTGTTTCACTGATTTGGTTTAATGTCTTATGTATAATTTGATCATAACAATGTTACTATACTGTTCTCGAATGTATAAATGATATACTTAATTAAATATTGTACAAGTATGTAAATAAATACATAGATAATATTAAATAAATATATAGGTAATATTAAATAGAATAATTAATTCCATTGTAATAATTCAATATTTTTTATGCAATTTTCTACTTACGCACGCACAAATAAATTCGTTTTCCTCTCTTCTCTTCTGCTTGCTGTGATCAACTGGGTTCATAATTGAATTGCTAAATAATAACTACTACTACTGTATCATTATGGAATATAAAACACATATAAATAGAATAGAATAGAATAGAATAGAAAATCATTTATTCAAATAAACTTAATTTAAGCACTTTTGAATAGTCATAAAAAATTGTTTTTTATCTACCACTCGTTCGGAAAGCTGTCTCATCACAAGAAGAACGAGCAAGAAACTTGTGTGTTGCTAAAATTATTTTATGTGTTGCTAAATAAATATTTGTGTCTGGATTATTGTCGCTGGTAAATAAATTATGATGAAAAGAATAGACATACAAGTACATACGAAAGTATACGACTTATATATGTCTTAGATATATATACATATATATATATCATATACATATGAATGGATATGTTGTATATGTCATAACAATACACGACGCAATCACATAAAACAAACATCCAGAAAAATAAAGGAAATATACTGAATAGAAAAACAATAGAAAGATAATAAATTAAGTAATAGAGGAACTTTAATTAGGTAATTATAGATTTAAATTGTACTAGCCGTACATGCGACTTCGTGCGCGTGGATTTTAACATTATTTTTCTACAGTTACTCCTTATTATATCAGCTGTCTCACAAAAGAAGTCCCGTCAAAATCGATCCACCCAATTCAGAGATCAGCCGGAATAAACAGATAGACAGATAAAAATGATTAAAAATGTTATTTTGATGTATGTACCGTATTTATATTCATATGCACGTTGTAAAAAACGGTATTACAGTAACGGTTATTACAGTATTACAAACAGACACTCCAATTTTATTTATATTTATAGATGTATAGATAAATTGACTTATTTGTGAAGTATGAAATAGTTTAAGAGTATGTGAGTGTAAATTTGTACAGGTGTCAGTACATTGTTATTATTTAATTAATTACAGATGCACTACTGGTCAGGTCTCCCTTCCTTTGTGTTCGGCAGCACATCGTTGTTCGCTGGCCTCATTACCTTCCTGGTACCGGACACTGGAGCTGACTCTCTTCCAGACACAGTATGCGAGGCTGAAGCAGTGGGCAAAACTGACCTTAACATGAAAACGCCTCCAATAAACTTTGTTATTCCTAAAAACGAGAATTTCGCCAAATTATAATGTTATAAAGTTTGTTAGTGGTGAATTTGTATACATAATCTGCCATAATAAATTATGAATATAAATAAATCTGTTAATACGAGTTGCTCTATTTATTGAATTATTTTTAAATGAGTAAATTTATAGATTTACTATGTTGCAGTTACAAAAACAGAATATAAGAAACTACATTAAAGTAATTTATATTTATTTATCGTATCAATATTTGACACCTCTTGTGGTCTACTGTTTTACCACACTGAAATACATCCGATGGTCGCGGATTCGATTCCTCGCATGTTTTGTATTCAAATGTGTGGTAGTTTGTATTGGTCTGGGTGTTTTGTATGCTTTTACAAAAGTAAGGTATTTAAGTATTTGTGTCAGTTGTTTAGATATCATAACACAAGTTTTGCTTTGTTTGGAACTAGATGGCACTTTGTGAATTGTGCAGGAATATGAATATTATATGTAGAGCATTTTAAACACATACATTTTTTTATTAAATATACATATATCGTGCTCATCCCTACAGTTTAAGACTAAACCTCCAATTGTCTCAATTAGAGCGGAAACTGTGCAACCCGTCCGCGTAGCATAAATATTTATTTTTATTGCTTATTTCCACATTCGAAACACCTAGAGCTTGTAGAAGCAGTAATTGCAATGCGTGGTACCGCGGTTGCTAGTATGCCAAACGGCGTCGCACAAGCAATTTTCAATTTGGCCCAACGTCGCAGCCGACTGCCGGCGCCGCTGCAATATTAATTCCTGACTGCGCAACTGTTGCAGCCCAGCAATTTAGGAGACGAGGGACAAATTGTAAAATCAACTACCCTCATATATAACGTTTATTTACGTGTATGACTTTACTTATTCCGCTACTGTATTTCGTGCTATTCGCTACCTATTTTTTTATTACAAATTGTAGTTAAATCTTCACTTATATCACAGTTAGAGCGGAAATAACTTTATCAACAATTTTTTATTTGATGATTGCGCAACCTTTGTAGCTCAGCAATTTAGGAGACGCGGGACAAATTGTAAAATCAACTACCCTCATATATAACGTTTATTTATACCATAGCTGTGTTTCGTGCTATTTAGTAGCTATTTTTTTTTACAAATAGTAGTTAAATACTATAATAGTAATTTTCATAAAGAAGTAATTTTTATTTCTGACTGCGCAACTATTGCAGCCCAGCAATTTAGGAGACGAGGGACAAATTGTAAAATCAACTACCCTCATATATAACGTTTATTTATACCATAGCTGTATTTCGTGCTATTTAGTAGCTATTTTTTTTACAAATAGTAGTTAAATACTATAATAGTAATTTTCATAAAGAAGTAATTTTAATTCCTGACTGCGCAACTATTGCAGCCCAGCAATTTAGGAGACGCGGGACAAATTGTAAAATCAACTACCCTCATATATAACGTTTATTTATACCATAGCTGTATTTCGTGCTATTTAGTAGCTATTTTTTTTACAAATAGTAGTTAAATACTATAATAGTAATTTTCATAAAGAAGTAATTTTTATTTCTGACTGCGCAACTATTGCAGCCCAGCAATTTAGGAGACGCGGGACAAATTGTAAAATCAACTACCCTCATATATAACGTTTATTTATACCATAGCTGTATTTCGTGCTATTTAGTAGCTATTTTTTTTACAAATAGTAGTTAAATACTATAATAGTAATTTTCATAAAGAAGTAATTTTAATTCCTGACTGCGCAACTATTGCAGCCCAGCAATTTAAGAGACGAGGGACAAATTGTAAAATCAACTACCCTCATATATAACGTTTATTTATACCATAGCTGTGTTTCGTGCTATTTAGTAGCTATTTTTTTTTACAAATAGTAGTTAAATACTATAATAGTAATTTTCATAAAGAAGTAATTTTAATTTCTGACTGCGCAACTATTACAGCCCAGCAATTTAGGAGACGAGGGACAAATTGTAAAATCAACTACCCTCATATATAACGTTTATTTACGTGTATGACTTTACTTATTCCGCTACTGTATTTCGTGCTATTCGCTACCTATTTTTTTATTACAAATTGTAGTTAAATCTTCACTTATATCACAGTTAGAGCGGAAATAACTTTATCAACAATTTTTTATTTGATGATTGCGCAGCGCAACCTTTGTTGCTCAGCAATTTAGGAGACGAGGGACAAATTGTAAAATCGTCTATCCTCATATATAACGTTTATTTATACCATAGCTGTGTTTCGTGCTATTTAGTAGCTATTTTTTTTTACAAATAGTAGTTAAATACTATAATAGTAATTTTCATAAAGAAGTAATTTTTATTTCTGACTGCGCAACTATTGCAGCCCAGCAATTTAGGAGACGAGGGACAAATTGTAAAATCATCTATCCTCATATATAACGTTTATTTACGTGTATGACTTTACTTATTCCGCTACTGTATTTCGTGCTATTCGCTACCTATTTTTTTATTACAAATGGTAGTTATATCCTCACACAATATAAGATAAATATAATTCTTACATTTATATATATACTAGATGGCGTTGTTACAAAAGTAAAATGCGCTATGGTATTGTTTTGGCCAAAAACATGGATCATGGATCGAAATTTCGACAGCCTAGACCGAGGTTCGAACCTCTAACGGGTGCTCTCAGACTAAAGTCGTATCCGTCAGGCGGAACTTGGACTTGGCCTTCAACAGCTTCATGTCTTTCCACGTGTTTGGAGCGCCCTCTGCATTAGCCTAGCCTCCCCTATAGTCCGCTGAAGCTGTAAAGGCTAGGGGTGTTAACTTGGCCTTTACCTGCTCCATAAATTCTTCCGAGGGTTTTGAGTGCCATCTGTACTCGCCCCCTATCATCCGGTGAAGCTGTAAAGGCCAGCTACGGCCAACAGCATTAGAGTAGTCCCAGAAAAACCCGTGTTAATTGCAAAATTTTGAAATGTCTATCAGCTTGTTCTTGTATTAAAATGATTGACTGTTATGTTCACCAATTATTACTTACCTTAGGATACCTCAATCGATTCATTAATAATTGTTCAATGTTGACAGCTTATTTGCATTGGAAATTCTTATAAACTATGTTTCAAAATTACGATCTCAACTGAACGACGTGGCGAAAGGAAGGAGTAAGTGCGTTATAAAACAGTACTAAACGAAACTTTCTGTGATCATCAAAACCAACTTATTGCTGCCTTGCAAGTAGCTGATATTTTAATTAAACCTCCATTCAACTACAAAGTAAGTAATGAACGTTTTATTTGTTACAAATTAAATTATAACTAGCACGTACTTACGCTTTTATAATGGACTAGCTGTTCCCACGGTTTCACCAACATTAAAGTTGTTATTCTGATGTATAAGCTATATTACTGCAAAATTTTAATCAAAATCCGTTTATCATCCATCTAATCATTCATATTCACAAACTTTCGCGTTAAAATATTGTTAAGGTAAGATGTTGTTGCACTCGCCTGCATAAACGGTATACGCTGGTGCACACCAGTGGAGGATGATAAGTTGTGAGGTCAGGTCTGTTAGCCTATCGTGGCAAATTTACCAGGAATTTAACATTATGGTTTCCAGCCGCGTGGAGTTCAACTTGACATAGTACATTCAGTTTTTCGGGTAAATTTGTTCATTTTAAAATATGTTCTAAATTCAGTCTATGATACCGGAAGCATTCTTCTCCAGCACACCGTCTGGTGCTGATGAAGAAGATTCTACATAGGAACTGCTTATTATCCTGCTACAACTGATTGCGAATTTGATATTAATTAAGGAAAAGGAAGCAATTATAAGAGAATACAGTACTTAAAATAGAACAAAACCGATTACTATCAAAGTATTGGAAGATTTGCATGAAAGCTGTACACACTTTAAATAAACGTATTGGCAACAATGTAAGGTGCGATGGAATTCACAGTGATGCAGAACTTTAAAGTTAGCAAAAGAATATCAAGCAAAGATCTGATCTTCGCTTGGGGAAAAGGCAGGGGATGCACCGGGGGCAAAACAATTGACATCAACAGTTCAGAATAATTTTGCATAAAAATTAATAATAATAATATGTTTGGGAAACCACGCTCTGCTACCAAAATGTTTGGAAAACTACTCTGCTACCACAATGTTTGGGAAACTACTCTGCTACCAAAATGTTAGGGAAACCTCAGTCATGTACCTGTATGGTTCTGCGGATTTCTTGGGCTTCAGGGTCTCGAAGATGTCTTCGCTAGCTTTCCAGTTTCACAGTAGGTTTCACAATTCTAATTTATTTTAATTCACAACATAATAATTTGAGATATAGTAAAAGTAAGTGTAAGTAAGGTGTAATATTTACCCTAAAACGACTTTTTATGTAACTAGATGGGTAAATGCTTATAATCACTACTGGTAACCATTGTAGTTAAATTCTATTGACGAACGAATGGACGAATTCGATGGTCTAGCTTTGTAGCACACCGCCCTGTTTCCGAGGGTCGCAGGTTCGAGCGCTCACACGGTACAAACATTTCTATTCGTAAGTATAATTGTTTCTATCGGCCATGGTATTTTTATGTATAGTATGTATATATTTAAAAAAAAACGTATGAATTGTCTCGTATGCACAACACAAACTCTACCGAGTTTGGGACTAGACAGTTTTATCAAGGGTCATTTTATAATTAAATTATGGCCGAATTTCGACTACTGGACGACCACTAGTAATTTATTGCCTCTATTGTGATGTTGGTGGCGTCACTGAAAAGCCACCACCAACATTGCAAGAAAAAGGGGAACGGCCATTCTTGTTTGAAGGCGGCGCATTAGAGATAACAGAGATATTATATTTTATTTTGGGATAAACAATTAATATTAGTGAGTCGTGCAATTCCTGTAATTGGAGAACTAAATAAAACAAGTACATCTGCATTGAACTATTATTTGAAAACTTCCCAATAGTTGCACTTGCACTTACCCTCAGGAGGACCGGCAGATTACTACTAAAATTACAAAAAAATTAGGTTCATCTGAATAAGATCGAGCA